GTTGTATTAAAATTTAAAACACAAAAAATTTGGCACCACAATTGATATATTTTTTTTTTAGATTATTGTAAACAATATTATCCTCCAAATCCGATAAAACCATGTTTTGTATGATTGATGATGCGAGATTACGACAATATAATATCGTTGAAAATGTACACGAAAATAATTTGAAAGAATAAATAGGGGTGAGTGTTACATTTTCTTTTTAAAATAAAATTAATGTTTTTAGTACAAGTCGTCATATTTATCAAGTCTCCTAATAAAAAACTGAAGGTCAAAAAAAAAGAGAAAAAATAACAAATTATTCATTAGTAAAGAACTTGTATATTTGCATAAATCAATTTTATCAAAACTACATTATTTTAATTACAAAAAATATTACTAGTTGGAAATGCGAAATTTGAAGTAAAAGAGCGTGTAAAATATCCGAATAATATTCTCCGTCTTCATTTGATTTCAAAAATAGAAACGGTAAAAAAAAAAAAAAAAAAAAGAGACTATAATCTCTTTGTTTTATGATAAATGTCGTTTAAGGTTTTCATACACAACTGACAAAGCAAACAAAAAACCAACAAAGAACCAGTAGGAATTCAACCGAGGGGAAGACCACTAGGCTCTTTTTTGAATAATCGAACATTTTGGTTCATGTACGATTTCAAGCATAAAATCACACCTCTTGAACCGAACCGAATCGGGAATTCTAAATGACGTCATCATTTTACATCATGATATACATATAAACGGATAAAATACAAAATTGATAGTATAAATATGGTTGCATTGTTCAAATGCACTAGAGAACCTACATTTTTTTTTTTAATTTTTTATAAACCATTAAAAAAACCTAAATGTTTACAAATGGTTTGTAGCCAAATAATAACTATTTTGAAATTGTGTTTTCTATTTAAGAAATTTCAAGTTTTTATTTCACTAAATTACCAAATTCTGCACTTTAGTACTTTATATTATAAAGACAAATAATAGAAGAAGATATAACTAAGGTTGTATAGATATTACAAAACCATGTGCCATAAATTGCCTATGAATAATGACAATCACTATGAAGACCAAAAAAAGAAAAATAATAATAATAATAACAAAAATGCCACATGTACAATAATTATAATTACCAAAGACTTTATCGGATTCCAAATAAAATTTTAAAAATGAAATTGAATAAATAAAATAAGTACTAATGTTTGGGTGGTGGGAGTTGAACCCTTATGTAACAAAAGGGTCCACTAATTAATTCATTAAATTAATTTTTTTACTCTTTAATTTACATAGCACAATAAGAGGGAAAATATAAGATATATAAACTATGCTGCACGGACACTTCTAGAAGGTCAAGAGTCCCCGTATCCGACACCTGGATACTCGGATACTTCTCGGACACCCGTGTCGGGTTGTGTCGTAATTTCGCTAAAAGTAGGACACCCGCGTCGGGCAGTGTCCACAATTTTAAAAAAGTTGGGACACTTCTCTTACGTTTTAAGAGAAAACCCTAATAAAAAAATGCGCATTTTCTATTATCTGTAATACATATTTCTTCTGTTTTCTTTGTGAGTCCACCCAAAACTCCAAAAATCTACCATGCGACGTCGACCAAGAACACGAGCAACAAGGGCGAGCGGTTCTCTTATGCGATGACGACTTATACATATGTTTTTCAATTTATAAATGTACCCCTATATTTTTATTATTTATAAATATACCCCTATATTTTTTATATTTACGCGTATCCCCGCGTGTCCGTATCCTATTTTTTTGGAAATATCGTATCACCGTGTCCGTATCCGCGTATCGTCGTGTCCGAGCAGCATAGTATATAAATATATTTCAAACGACTTTTTCTATGGTAATTAAATTACACAAATTATTATATGAATTCAATGTATTTACTAAAAAAAATAATTACGCATTTTTTAAATTGCACATATGTATCGATATTTGTTATAATTTATTAAATTAAACATCTAAAAGCGTAAAAGCGGTTCTTTTATCTGAAAAAAAATGTTTTTTTTTATGATTAGGTCAAACCGCAATGATAATAAGTATAATTTATCTCACAAAAGAAAATCATATAATAATTTGAAGCTCTTTTATGTTTGTGGCAACTGCATATTAGATTTCGGCACAAGTAGTTAGAAAATATGTATGAAGTTTACAAAAAATTTACCCGATGGACTAAAATACCGTTTCTTAATTCTACGTTTTAAATTAAATGTCATTCTGAATATATTACGTCGTTTCAAATTACCTGTCACATTAGAATTTCAATGACACATTAAATATTATATTTCACTTTTGTCCTATTCATCTTAATTAATTGTAATAGTTAGCGGAAATAGAATTGATGAAAACAATGTATTTAAACAAATCATATGTTTTCTTCTTCGAATATTTATTAATTTTCTTGATACGTGCGCTTCAATCCAAATCGATGGCATAATGCATTAAATTTTTATATAAAACAATAGGAATTTCAGTCATTAAAATGAAAAAAAAAAAATTATGTATAAATAATTGTGCTAATTATAATAAGATATAAAATTTAGTTTTTGGTTTACATTGACATTAGCAAGGCTATAATATCTCAATGATTAAGGAAAGTCATTAATTATACATGTACATGTATACCAAGAGAGACGTGTTAAATATATAATTAATAATTTAATATTGTACATAATAATACATACATTGTATGAATAAATAGGCACACACGAACGGGCCTCTCGTAACATGCAGAGTCCACGTGGCAAAAACAACTACTACTATTTGCGAAGGTGCAAGCAATTGTTTGCACACATCACGTGCTTTGCGCTGTGTTTGGCTTTTTTCTCTCTTTACCACATTCTCGCCAAACAAACACGCCCTTTACAGATGTACGTGCATAATAAGAGCAGTACTAATTCGTGATTTCGTATTCGTATTCGTATAGCAATCGTACAATCTACGGCCACCGTATGCAGGGGCAAAAAAGTAAATGCACAAGGACAAGAGCGGGACAAAGACAACTGTATTTGTTTTTTGGGTGCAAGGAAAACCGTTGGAAGACGCGCGACATATATTGGGAAATACACACATTTAAGTGTGCGCGTGTGAGAGAGAGAGAGAGCATGTTCCCTTTCTTTCAAGTTTTTATTTATTTATTTATTATTATTATTTTTTATTTTTATTTTTGATATTATATTGCTATATGATGATATAATTAGGTGTAATAATGAAAGTCTCTAGTTAAGTATTATATACTCTCTGCGTTTCTAAATATATGTCGTTTTTCACCTTGGCACGAGTCTTAAGAATGTCAATAAATATTTCTTCTTTTTGAAAAATAGATATAGATAGACCAAAATACCATTATTTACTAATTAATGCAGAAAGAGTGTTATAGAGTTAATAAGGGTATAATTGAAAATTTTGTAATTAGTGCAACATTGGGATTGTAAAGTGACAGATAATATGAATTTTTATTTTTAAAAGGGACAGATATTGTCGAACATAGTGAGTATATGTTATATATATTCAAGCTCGCACCGGGCAAAGAATTAAAATAAATCACTCGAGATAATCGATATTTCGTTTGAGCTGGAATCATTAATATAATATGAATACATATCGAACACATACTTTTGTTCGATAAATCACGATTTTAAACTCAAGCTTGGACTCAATTTGAAAAATATATATATTCACGCCAATGAAGGTTAATACATCACTTTTATTAATAGTCCGACTAGATGCCTCAATAAGAGCCCGTTTGACTAAACTTATTTAAAATATCTTATAAACTCCTATATCTTATAAACTTATTTAATAAGTTAGTTGAGCATAATCTTACATTTTAAATATTTTAGTAAATGAATAAACAAGATCTTATTCAAGAATGGTGGGGTGCGAGTGTTTTTTAAAAACAACTTAAAAGCTCCATAACAACTAATTTTTTAAATAATTAAGATTTTTTGAAAACAAAATACCAAATACCTTTTACTAGCTTACAAGCTCTTAAATATGTTATAAAATATTTACTTATAAGCTTAGCAAATAGTTTCTTCCACCAAATTAAGTTCACAAACTTGTTTAATATGCTTTATTTATTTATTCTTACATTGTAGTGTATTTGCTCCTTGGAAAAACAATGTATGATTTCTTAGTTAAAAAAGTTTAAAGAGTGATTTCATTATCATGTTATTCAAAAAACTTATTTATTGTTGCTTATTCAAATTATTAAACATTAAAAAGAACAAAAAATTGAGCTCTGCCCCCGAATCCTATAATTTCGTAGTTCAGTGTTTTGAAATTTCTCTGTTTTGAAATCTCTCCTTCCAGTAGAACGATCTTATGTTTGTCGCGGATTGGTGCAATCCCCTTACAAGTTATCTAATATCAGCATCGGTTACTTAATAGGTGAATTTTTACTTGACGTGTGAATTTCTACCCGTCTATTATTTCTACCCAACTCATTTAACTTTTTTTTTTTGGAGAAATTTTGGTGATTGATTGTGATACATTAGAAGAAATTATATAAAAAAAAAGATGAGGTGAAATAAATAAAATTTGTATGAAAAAGTAATAATGAAAGGAAGGAAGAAGCCTTAAAATTGGGTGCGGGAGTGGAGTATATTTCAAGTCTTGGAATATTCCCTAAATAGTGGTAGCCTAGGACGAGCTATACTAACCGTTTGGCGGTGGCGTGCCACAATTCCGGTGAACAATTAAAAAACAATAATTTTTTTTTAAATAACATAAGTAAAAAATATAAAAAAAATAAAAAAAAAATTAAATAACATAAGTAAGTAAAAATAAAATAAAAAATAAACATCGTAAAAGTGAAAGTGGTTGTTCTTGCTGCTGTTACACACACCACACACACTACTGCACACTTACACACAGCACAACTACCCTTTACCTTCTCTCTCTCTCTCTCTCTCTCCTCTCTCTTCTCTCTCTCTGCTATAATCCAGTTGGCTGTCTTCTTAGCTTCTCTCTCTAGCATTCTCTCTCTAGCCTTCTCTCTCTCTCTTCTCTCTCTTTCTATAGTTGCCGCATCAGTTTCTGGTCCGAAAAACTCTCTATTTTCTGTCCTTCACTCTTCACACTTGAGAAATTTGTCCTCCCAATAACTGTTTGCCAAAAATCATACATTGAACACAATTTTGGCCTTTTCTTTTATTTTCCGGTGGGTTTTTTATTATTTAAAAAAAGAAGAAAAAAAGAAAGGAGTTAATTAATTGATGACAATGGAATCAAATTCCTCTGGAGGGGAGGATTGTTGTGTTAAAGTGGCTGTTCATGTTAGGCCTCTGATTGGAGATGAAAAGCTTCTGGGCTGTCAAGATTGTGTCTCCATAGTACCTTCTAAACCTCAGGTTTCTCCCAATTTACCATAATGCCATCTGGGTTTTTTTGCTGCCCACTCTTCAATTTCAAGACAATAAAAATCGAGTCTTTTTTTTTTTTTAAATAAAGTTTTTGGGGTCTGAGATGGTTTAATTCTGTGTTTTTGGAATTGGGTTTTTGGAAAGATCTGATTTTTATTTATTTATTTATTTATTTTATTTTACTATAATAGTATAATTTTGCCAAGATTTTATGGTTGGCAGTGGCATGTTGATGTTTGAGTTACAGTGATTTCTTGATCTGAAATTTGGTCAAATCCAGTGTTTAGGTAGTGGGTTGTCCTAAGTATAAAATAAATAAAAAAACATTCTTGAATTCTTGCATCTTTTGTTTGAGGAAAATAAAGGGTCAGATGTTTTGTTTATTCCTGCTGTCAGGATTTGTAACTTCAGTGATGAATTTGGTTCACTGCTCCTTTTCTTGATCATTCTATGCTGATTTTGACTCATTAATATTCCGATTTTTTTCTTACCTTATTGATGTACCGGTAATAATCGTGCTAATCCAGGTGCAAATCGGAACCCATTCGTTTACATTCGATCATGTATACGGCAGCACCGCCTCTCCCTCAACCGCCATGTTCGAAGAGTGCGTTGCGCCACTTGTCGACGGTTTATTTCAAGGATACAATGCCACTGTTCTTGCATATGGACAGGTAAAAAAAAATAAAAAAATTAAACCTTAAACAAATCAAGATTCTTAACAATGCCCGAAAAAAAAAATATTAATGAGTTTCCGATGTTGTGGTGATGTTGTGGTGCAGACGGGTTCAGGAAAGACGTACACGATGGGCACCAGTCTTAAAGACGGATGCCACACTGGAATAATCCCCAAAGTAATGAATGCTTTGTTCTCCAAGATCGAAACCCTCAAGCACGAAATCGAATTCCAATTAAACGTTTCCTTCATTGAGGTACTTACTCAAGATTCATTGTTAATCGATATTGAATTCTCGGGTTTTTTTTTAATCACTAATTGAGTAGTATTTAATTAAATCGGCACTAAATTGAATTTCGTATAATTTTGATTTCAAGATTCATAAAGAAGAAGTACGAGACCTGCTGGATCAAAGTTGTTCTCCTACGAAACAAGACATAGCAAATGGACATTCGCCGAAAGTAAACAACATCGGAAAACCTCCGATACAAATACGAGAGACGTCAAACGGTGTTATTACACTCGCGGGATCGTCAGAGTGCAGTGTTAAGACACTTAAAGAAATGGCTTACTGCCTCGAACAAGGTTCCCTTAGCAGAGCAACCGGCAGCACTAACATGAACAATCAATCGAGGTCTTTATATATAACGCAAATTTTGTTTCTTTGATTCTTTTTCAGACAAAATTTAGGTTGTAAGTTCATGCATGTAATAATTTTTTTTTTGTTTTTCTCTAACAGCCGTTCGCATGCGATCTTTACAATCACGATGGAGCAGATGCGTATTCCGAATGATAATAGTATAAATGATTGTATGGCTGATGAATATCTCTCTGCAAAATTGCATTTGGTGGATCTTGCTGGATCGGAGCGTGCAAAGAGAACGGGATCCGACGGTCTACGTTTTAAGGAAGGTAAAATTAAATAAGCTCGAACTATTTATTTGGTTCTAGAAGCTTCTTTCTTGTACGGTAAGTTCTTTTGACACGTGAATTTTTTTTTTATTTTTTTTTTTATTACAGGAGTTCACATAAATAAAGGTCTTCTTGCACTTGGCAATGTAATAAGTGCACTCGGCGACGAAAAGAAGCGAAAAGAAAGTCTTCATGTGCCTTATCGGGACAGTAAACTCACTCGTCTACTTCAGGTTCAACATTTTTACTCAATCGGAAAATGATTAAATTATATTATTTGTTACAAAAAATTATTATTTTTTCGGTTATTTTTTTAAAGTTTCGAATCTTGAAAATATTGACAGGATTCTCTTGGTGGCAACAGCAGAACAGTAATGATAGGTATGGTATATTTATTTTTCGTCGAAATTATCTATTAATTATTTAGCATATACTAAAAAATAAATAATATTTTTTTATTTATTCAGCGTGCATTAGTCCTGCGGATATAAATGCCGAAGAAACTCTCAACACTCTGAAATACGCAAATCGTGCTCGGAATATACAGAACAAACCTGTCGTAAGTTATTCGAAGTATTTCTTTATTCACAATATTAATTAAATTTGTCGTTTATGTTGAGATTATTTGAATTATTTGACGAACAGATTAACCGAGACCCGATTTCTAACGAAATGCTGAAAATGCGTCAACAATTGGAGTTTCTGCAAGCCGAGCTTTGTGCACGCGGTGGAGGAGTTTCGTTCGATGAAATACAGGTAAAATTTTTTTAATATCGTATAAAAAATTAATTAGAGAGGGAAATATTTAATTTAGGATTAAAAAAAATCGTGCAGGTTCTTAAGGATAGGATTGGTTGGCTTGAAGCTACCAACGAGGAGCTGTGTCGGGAACTTAACGAGTTCCGTAACAGAGGCGGGCCCACTGAGCAATATGAAGCTACCAATACTAAAGTATGTAATTATCTGTAAATTAAAATCATTTTTAAATATGTAAAGAAAATTATATTCCGAGGTTAAAATAAACGGAGCTTACCGTTTTTGCAGTTTGCCGGAAACGGTGCCATGAAAAGTGAAGGGCTGAAAAGGGGATTGCAAAGTATGGAGTCGTGTGATTATCAAATGAGCGAAAATAGTATGTTTTTTTTCTATTCTTGAAAATACATTCAAATATATCTATATGTATATATATGTATGTATATGTATGTATTGGTTATTGAGACATTGTAAAATGTTTGCAGGTGATTCCGGGGATATTGATGAAGATACGGTGAAGGAGTTGGAGCACACTTACTTACAGACAAGTATGGATAAAGAATTGCACGAGTTAAATCGGCAGTTGGAGAAGAAAGAGGTATTCGTTTAATTTAATTTTATAAAAATGCAAATATTTTACGTTGTTGTTTGGCATGTTTACGTGTCCGTTTCCTAATTCAAATCAGAAAGAAAAAAAAGAATTTTAAAGCGTTATTTTCGACTTTTTTTAATGATGAAATTCATGTTCTTGCAGTCGGAGATGAAATTATTTGGAGGATATGACACAACGGCACTTAAGCAACACTTTGGAAAGAAAATGCTCGAACTCGAGGAGGAAAAACGAACCGTGCAGGTATAATACTAAACAAAAAAAAAACAGAATAATTCGAAGGAAATAAATATGTTGCTACTTTTGATAGTTAATGATTTCTATTTAACGAATACAGCGCGAAAGGGATCGGCTTTTTGCAGAAGTCGAAAACCTTTCGGCTAATTCCGACGGACAAGCACAAAAATTGCAAGATGTTCACTCCCAGAAACTAAAACTTCTTGAATCTCAGGTTTTTATTTATTTATTTTATTATTATTTTTTTAATTATACCATCGATTTTGGTCCAAGAAATCATTTTTAAGGATTATTTTGTTTTGTTATTACACATCAGATACAAGATCTAAAGAAGAAACAAGAGAGTCAGGTTCAACTGTTAAAACAGAAACAGAAGAGCGACGAAGCAGCTAAAAAATTACAAGACGAAATACAATGCATCAAGGCGCAAAAGGTCGCGTTTTTTTCGCTTTTCCGTATTCTACATACTTTTCCCGACTTCATATTCGTGTGCTAGTTTCCGACAGTTGTTTTCGTGTTACAGGTTCAGTTGCAGCACAAGATTAAACAAGAAGCCGAACAATTTCGACAATGGAAGGCGTGTCGGGAAAAGGAACTATTACAGGTAATTTTTGTTGCTAATGATTTTTTATTTTATCATATAAATTATATATTAACTCATCGGAGGATTCTACATACGCAGTTAAGGAAAGAGGGAAGAAGAAACGAGTACGAACGGCATAAATTGCAAGCGCTAAATCAACGTCAAAAGATGGTGAGCAATTTTACATACTACGAGTGCAGTTTCACATCTCGATTTCTAATTATTGACGAAAATTTGTGACGACTCGATTTTAAATTCAGGTTCTTCAGAGAAAGACCGAAGAAGCTGCAATGGCTACCAAGAGGTTGAAAGAATTGTTAGAAGCACGGAAATCTTCGTCTCGTGAAAACTCCGGTACCTATTCGTGAAAATTTCGATTTATGTCACAAGAATCTTTGTAGCATTGCCTATTTATATTTCGATATTAATTTTGTTATTTATTTTCCAGTAACTAGCAACGGGAGTGCAATGAATGGACCGGTAATCCCTTACACTCATCCTCTTTCGTAAAATGCCAATCTTTTTCTCGCCTATTTTATCAAGAAAACCGTTTAAATTATTTATTTTAATTTTCCAGAGCAACGAAAAGTCATTGCAGCGTTGGCTCGATCACGAGCTGGAAGTGATGGTGCATGTGCACGAAGTTCGTTACGAATACGAGAAGCAGAGTGAAGTGTACGTACTAATCACCTTTTCTTTTTTTCATCACTTGACTTTTCCGATTGTTATTTTTCTAATATATTCGTCGACCAATCTCCAGACGAGCTGCACTGGCAGAAGAGTTGGCTGTTTTAAGACAAGTCGACGAATTTGCTTCCAAGGGTGTTAGCCCACCTCGTGGCAAAAATGGTTTTTCTAGGTAATCTTTCTTCTTCATTGCATAAAGCTCGATTTTTTTTTTTTTTTTTTTAATATCCCGTAATATTTTTTTTTTTGCTTTTTTTTTTTTCGATTTTTTAAATAGGGCGTGTTCGATGTCGCCGAATGCGAGAATGGCGAGAATAGCTTCGCTGGAAAGTATGCTTAGTATATCATCGAATTCACTAGTTTCGATGGCTTCACAGCTGTCAGAAGCAGAAGAAAGAGAGCGTAGTGTAAGTGCTCGTGGAAGATGGAACCAACTTCGCTCTATGGCCGATGCAAAAAATCTTCTTCAATATATGTTCAATTATCTCGGTGATGACAGGTACACGATAAATCGACCTTCTATTTTCTATGTAAACAATACATTCTCCTAAAAAAAAAAAAACCAATTGGATTTGAATTTTTCGAATTCCGCCTACTCCGATCTGAATATTTCTGATTTCGGAACGACATTTTTAATTTTGAATTCCTAACGTTCTGATTTTTCTTTTTTGGAATGAAATTAATTAAAATGACAAATGTGTAATGTTCAAAAAAAGAAAAAAATTGGCCTTATAAATGGCTTTAAATACTAAGACGGGCTAACATGGTTGAGACTAGGTGTGGAAATTGGAACGAAATTTCCGATTTTGTAACAACATTTTTTTCGTTCCGAATTTTTGAACAAAACTGGAATTAATTTTCCACTTCCGTGAAAAAAAATTGGATTTTTTTTCCATAAGTGTTGGTTTCCGATTCGATCTGTCCGATTTCCACCCCTAGTTGAGACTGTGACACAGTAAGCAGAATCTGCAATTTCTAGAGAACAATGACACGCGTGATGACATCACCTTTACGGATTAATTGATGTGACCGACAGGTGTCAGTTATGGGAAAGGGAAATGGAAATAAAAGAGATGAAAGAGCAGATGAAGGAGCTCGTTGGTTTATTGAGACAAAGTGAAGTTCGAAGAAAGGAAATCGAGAAGGAGCTAAGATCAAGAGAGCAAGCTCTCGCTACCGCATTTTCTACACCACCATCTGTACGAATAATTAATTATTTGCCTTTTCTCGTTTTTCTTTTCCTTTTTTGTTCGGTTTTTATATCTTTGTTTTTTTTTTTTTTTTTTTTTCTACAAAGGGAAATTCACTTAGACACGTAGCTGACGACATGAGCGGGCCATTATCTCCGATTCCCGTGCCCGCACAAAAACAGCTCAAATATACAGCCGGAATAGCTAACGGCTCGGGGAGAGATTCCGCTGCATTTATCGATCAAACACGCAAGGTTCATTTACTAATCCTTAATTAAGCCCTAAATATTACTCCCTCCTTCCCGTTTTATTTGTCACTTTGGCTAACTTTTTTTTTTGTCCCAAATTATTTGTCACTTAACAAGGAGCTTATAAGATGTTTTAGAGCTTATAAGCTCTTCTAAAGTGTGTGGTAAATTTTTAAAAAAAGATCTTAATTTTTTTTAAATAAGTTGCTGGAGACCAGACCAAATAAGATCTTTTTAAAAAAGTACATCTACCCCACTTTTTTATTTAAGATCTTATAATGAGTAAAAATAGGAAATAAGCTCATTATCCAAACACTCTAAAAATTAATCATAAAAGTAAGATGTAACAGCTTATCAGCTCTTAAAACATCTTATCGGGCGTAAGAGCTTGTCAGATGTTTAAATAAGCTTAGCCAAACACCCTCTTAATCATTAATTAAACTTTTTCCAAATTTGACCTTTTATCGCTCTTAATTAATTGAAAGATAATTAGTTGAAAATCAATCTATGCCTCAAATTTCAAAATGACTCTTTAAAAAGAAAAAAAAGATGGAGATTTAATTTTTTTTCTTTTTCGTAAATTTATATATTTCTAATGAGTGGTGGTATTGAAAGTGCAGATGGTTCCGATTGGACAGCTGTCGATGAAGAAATTAGCGATGGTCGGACAAGGAGGGAAGCTATGGAGATGGAAGAGGAGTCATCATCAATGGCTATTACAGTTCAAATGGAAGTGGCAAAAGCCTTGGAAACTTTCCGAATTTATCAGACACAGCGACGAAACAATCATGAGGAGTCGGCCTCGTGGGGGGGCCCCACACACTCTTCCCGATCTTATGCATAGAAAAACCGTCACTAGCTTATAATTACAAAAAAAAAAGAAAACATCTCAACCCTTTGTACATTCTTATTATCCATTTTCCGTCCCCCACGCCATAATATTGCACATGGAAATAAGTTGCGGGTAAGTCCTTTAAGTTCATAATAATATCTTAATGGGTCCTCCCGTTTTTTTTTTTTCAATTTTTCGAAAAAATTCATTTTTTGGATTTTACCGAAAAAAATGCAGGTTGAGGGTATAAGTGGGAAGTTGGAGAAGAAATTTGTGTAGTAGGTGTATTGGTTATAGACGAATATGAAGTGGAAATGGTTTTTTTAATTTTTCGACTTTTTGGAAATTTTGATAGTTGTGGTTTGTTGGTTTTAGTTACGAGGTGGGATTGTGATGTATCGGAGATAGGTTATATTTTACGCCTCCCCGGTGATCTCCGTTGTATATTTTGTGAATGGAAGTTCATCAAGTTAGTAGTGCTTGTGAAATGTTAAGGATTTTTTTTTGTTTGTTTAATTTTTAATTTTTATTTTTTTGTTGGCTAATTGGCCTTTTTGTATAATGTGTGTAAACACCAACAATAGTGGTTTTCGTTTGAAGTGTATACAGTGCAGCATTGTTAATTGATCATAATGCATCGTATATTGGAGATATTAATATTAAATAATACATTTCACTAACAACTTAAGCTTTTGATTGATATGGTTATTCAATATCGTATAACAAAACTTTAATTTTGAAATTACTTACTAATATTTATTCCTCTTCTTCAACACGAGAGAGAATTATCGACCTAGAACATAAGTTGGTCCGTCGCCCTTCGTTTAGTTAGAGAGCTTGTCAAACATATATGCATTTCAAATAGTTAAGAAGTTAGATGAAAAGAGATTAGGTGGTGTTTGCAAATGCTTTTAGAAATAAATTATGAGTTTTTTTCTGCACATATTGTTTTTAGGTGTTTGCTGAACAAGTTTTTGTATCTGCTTCTTTTAAAATAAGTTGTTTTAAGTTATAATTTTAAAAACACCCATGTACCTGTTTTTTCTATTTTAGTTTATTTTCCAGCTAATTTGCAAACACCCCCAACTCTTAAAAATAAGCATTTAATTCCAACTTAACTCACAATCACTAACTTCTGCTTTTAAATAAGTTTTTACAAACACCACCTTAGTATAGAGCTTATCAAACAAAATAAAGTGTTATACGAGAGCCAATAAAAAATCCAGTGGAATAAATTTGAAATACGAATTATACAGCTGTAATCGACAGGGGTGAGAAAAAAAATTCGAACCAAAAACCCAAAATAAAATATAAAAAAACTCAAATATTATACGTTACGAAGGATTTTCAAAATTCAATGTAAATAAATTTGAAATTCAAATTAGACAACTGTAATCGATGAAAAAATTATCATTACTGCAGTCATGTTTGCTCTACAACGTATACTTTCATTGACGTGTTAGTATTCAATTCAAAGTTTTAACAATGTACGGGCATTTAATTCAAAATCGATAAATATCCAACCCATATTACTATCATTTCCTACATATGGCTATAATATTGATAACATTGTGACTGAAAAATGTATTATTTTCTTTCAAAAATTAGGAATTTTAATTTTAACTTCAAAGGGATAAACTTGTATTTATATCTTAATTCTTTATTTTTTTCTATTATTTTTTTAATTATTAATTTATTATGAAATGGATATACGGAAAGGGGAAAAAAGAAAGAAGAGAAAATGTAAATTACTAGCTCTTTATTTGTAGCACAAGCACATAAATTATATATTCCTACAAATAAATATTTATACAAATTTATGCAGATTGTTCTTTAATTTTAAAAATTGCTTTTTTATTTCTTGAAATTTTGAAAAGACTTTAATTTAATTATTTCACGTGTAAAATGATTTTCTAAACCCTAAAAAAAGACAAATGATATACAAAGGGTATTATTGGAATTTCACTAAAAATCTGCCCTATAAAACACACAACACTCCAAAAACTCAAAAAATCTTCCCATTTTGCTTATTCTGCAATCTGCGTGGAGAAATTAATTCTTTAAATCAGTTTACCAACACACGCTTGAACACACATTAGTATGTGTTCTTGTATATAACTAGTTATTAATTTTGCATGCTTCTTGAAATGTTTTATGAGTGCTAAATCTTGATTTTGTTTCCTTTTTCTATTTGTTATCATTAACAAAAGGTTTGTTTCTGATGTTTTTAAGACCGACAAATGGAAGATCTATGCGTCGAGAACATCATTCCGCATCATGCGACGTCGGTCGTTACCGCAGAACCTACAAAGGTGGTGGAGGTTGCCGTAGAGGAAGAGATGTTGGAGAAGGCTGGCGGCGATAAAATGGGTAAATCTATCGCTTAGGGCTCCAAAATATAATGGGGACATATATCGTAATTTCTAAAATTTTGTAAGGGCATTTTAGTAATTTTAAAATAAATTAACCCTATGAATATGTAGGATTAATGTAGAAAAAAATAGTCATACAAGTGATAATTGCTCTTCAAATTAGCGTTTTCGCCATTTTCGATATCTGCATTTATAACAAGAATTTCTTAGAGTTTTTAATAGTTTGCTAACAATATTTTTCAAAGATTTTGACTATAAGAATGTTTATTTTTGATGTTTTTAAGCCCTAAAAATTGAAGATCTATGCGCTAAAAACACCATTCCGCATCATGCTACGTTTGTCGCCATCGCAGAAATGGTGGAGGTTGCCCCCGTTGTCGCAAAGGAAGAGACGGTGGAGAATGTTGGCGGCGATGACATAGGTAAATCTAACGCTTAGGGTTCCGAATGTAAAAGGGGCATACATCATACTTTTACGATTTTGTAAGGGCATTCTAGTAATTTTAAGAATAAATTAATACCTATGAATAAGTAGAAATAATGTAGAAAAAAACTAGATATACAAGTAATAATTGCTCTTTTAAATTAGCATTTCCGTCGTTTCAATATCTGCTTTTATTACGAGACAAACGTCTTAGATTTTAATATTTTACTAACTATTATTTTTTAATATTTTGAAACAAGACTAATTATTTATTTATAACAATGTACATGAGTGGTTGCTATTTTTTTTTAATTATAAAATAAACAATTAAATATATTATATCATATAATAGGGAAAATAAAAGGGTCTAAATTATTTGTTAATCGCAAAATAGTTGAAGACATCCCGGCGAAGAGCTTCTCGGAAGGCGGTGGGGAAAGCGACGATGTGGTTTGTAACAAGAGAGGGCAGCCGAGGACAGTCGATGGGGGGCCGACAACAATTTGTGGAGATGCCGCCGGAATATTATATCTCTGCACCGAAGCGGAGAAGAGGCCGCCCTCAGGGATCCACGCAAAACTTGGTTGCCTTTTTAGGTAAATTTTGTCTATTTTTTTCTTGATTATTTAGTTGCTTATATAAAAATATTACAACATGCATGCATTTGTGAATTTGCCATTGCATCAATTTTATTTATCAATTTATTTATTTATTATATACATATATTTATATATATATATATATTAGCCCGGTAAAATCAATTTAGTTCTTCTAGGGCGTGACATTTGTGCAATTCTGGTGCATCTAACAATACTCCCATTTTTCAATATATATATATATATATACATTTTTTTTATGAAATCAATTTTCCTAATTAATTATCGAAACGTTTTTTTTATTGCAAATAAATAAGTAATCGACAAACTTTTTATTCCATATATTTATTGTTAATCGGGGAATAATTTCTTGTAATATTGAAGGTGGAATTGTTGGGGAGACGGCGGGAAGAAACTTCACTTTCCACACTATTACAATTGAACAAGGGGAGGTATACATATATAATAATATTTACTTGTTCAATTTATGTGCTATATTTGTGCACATTTATATAGTTCTATTATCGATACATTTGTTCTTCGACGTACAAGATTAAACGTTGTAACTACAAGTTATATGTTAATTGTTTATCTCTCGTTGTTTGATCGACCATGATATAGTGCAAAGAATTAGGTCATTTTCTGAGATGACTCCCGATTCAATTTGCATTATCTCAGCTTCTGGTATAGTATCTATTGATGAAGTTCACGTGCCTAATCCTCGCCGTGACATTTTCCGATACGAGGTATATTATGATCTTTATATTTTGTTCATACTTGTAGTTATTTTCGAAATTAATTTGATCTCACGTATCGGTGGTGTAGGGGGAGTTGATTGTAGTACACTTAAATGGATCACATACATACGATTGAATAAATGGTGTTAAAAAATGCTTATTAAGTGTACATTTGGCTGATTCTGAAGGCCGATGCTATGGTGGTGCTGTAGCCGGTTCACTTATTGCTGCGGGCCCAACTCGGGTAACCCGACCTCTCAATATTTTATTTTTAATTATCTTGTGCAAAGATTGTGCTTAGCTTATATATGTTTGTATATATTGTATGTATTTAAACACACACAATAAACGCACATGCATGTGTATAAGTGTGCGCACAATTCACACAAAAAAGGGTTTTTCCCCCTCATGTTGACCAATAAAAAAAAAGAATAATAATAATCATGAATATAAATTTCAAATTATATTTAGTTCCTTTAAGTGTAATTTCTATATTTTTTCAGTTTAAGAATTTAAAACATTATATTCCTTTTTAATTTTCAGGTTATTATCGGAACGTTTATTCAAATTTTGAGGCATCGAAAGCGTAGACGTTGCAGCCCCAGAAAATCAGCCACCCACAGCTCTGTTTCCCCAATCTGCCGGTAATTGATGGTCAGAGTGAAGATTAGACTTAGCTAGCTAGAAATTAATATTCTTGCTGCCAAAATTTGAAGCTATAAAAAACATTTTTATTTTATTATCTTGAATTAATGTTTTAATTACTTGGATTAGACTCAGAAATTTTGGTAATTGATGGTCAGAGTGAAGATTAGACTTAGCTAGCTAGAAATTAATATTCTTGCTGCCAAAATTTGAAGCTATAAAAAACATTTTTATTTTATTATCTTGAATTAATGTTTTAATTACTTGGATTAGACTCAGAAATTTTGGCAAATTTCCGTTCACGTGAAATAACATATAAACTATACGAGAAATATAAACGACGTTATGATCAAATGAAACTGCAAATTGGTAGGGTGAAAAAAAATAAAAAGGAGAGGAGTATCCTATGTGAAATTATTGTACATTAGTGCCTTAATATTTCAAACTTTGAAGACCTAAGAAAAAAAGGGTAAATTACAACCACCCCTGAGGTATGGTCAATTTATGAAAAAAAAACCCTCTTATTTGGATAATTACATCTACCTCTCTACTATGATTTTTTTCTTACACCTCCACCCTTATGCTGCCAAATTCAACATAATCGTGGAATGTGCTTTAATTTGTACTCGTTTTATGTAAAAATACAGTTTCTGATGCACCACAATCTGATATATACAAGCCAAAAAACACATATTATGATATCTTTCTTCAAAATGTGGAGTTCGAATGTGATAAAACGGGTACAAAAGTGATAATATTCCATATAATCTCGAAGATTCCACTAAATTTAAAACCGCAAGGGTGGACGTGTAAAAAGATTTATAGTTGCGGGTGGTTGTAATTTCCCAAACAGAAGGGGGTTTTTCGTAATTTGACCATATCTCAGAAGTGGTTGTAATCTCCCAAACAGAAGGGGTTTTTTCGTAATTTGACTATATCTCAGGAGTGGTTGTAATTTACCAAAAAAGAAAAGGGTAAAAAAGCAAAATAAGTGTCTGGTAAAGGCAAAATTACTTGTGGGGCCCAACTCGGCTACCCAAGTGGGACTAATTCCTAACGCTTAGATTTCACACTTTATATAATCCAACGGCTCAATAAAAACCTTTTGACTTTGGTACAACCTTAATATCATCACTCCCCACCACCGGTTTACCCGTTAGCCCGTCCCCACCACACAATTAAAGTTGGTCAATGCCTTCCCTTTAGTTTCTCTCTCCAACTATTAGACGTGGCTTTTTTTGCTTTGACGCTAAGCTTGTGAAACTAGGATTGGACATGGATCGGGTCGAATAATTATCAGCCAATTATTTATTTGATTTGATTATTTGACTGTGCTGAAAATTATTATCGTTCCGACCATTATGAATCGGGTGACAGTTGACTTTTCAGTGATTTGGTATTACTAGCCATCTATTTATTCAATTTTTATTTTTATTTTTGTACTATTTTTTTTGCAATAATAAGATTTTTTTTTTTTTTTAAATCAAAAGATATTAATTTTTTGGGAAAACTTATGTTGCGAAAATCTTAATTTTAAAATTAAGAGTTTTCTTTTTTATTAAACTTAGAGGTTTATAAATTTATGTTTCGAGTTTTGAGTTTGACTTCTTTTATGTATTTACTTCAATGTTAAAAAAATGAGAATTACAAATAAATATTTATAATAATTTTTTATTATATGGGTTGATTAAAAAACATTGAAAAAAAAAAATCGACTTTTTTATGTAGAAAATCAAAAAAAAAAATGTATATAATATTGGGCAAAATGCACTTCACCGTCTACCATTTTTGCATTTCCCCCCTTAAAAATTCAAAAACGGGATACACCCTTCAAAATACTATTTTAGTTACACTTTTCTCCAGAAGCCAATCTTTGGAAGACATTATGCAATAAAAATAACACAGGCAACATGCAAAAACATGGTGTTTTTAAGAGGCAACGTGCGAGAAAAATGACATTTAAAATGGCAACGTGCAACAAAAATACTCAATTGCAGTGAATAATCCATCGGAGTTTTGCTATGGAGGTAATGTGCAACAAGAATAATATTTTGAAGATAGCCATTTACTTTTAAAAATTTTGAGAGAGTGGGTGATGTGCAAATTTTTTTTTTTTTGAGTAAATTCAAGTCCATTACAAGGGGAAGTAGGGGAGGGGGGGGACTCGAACCCTAGACCGTTACCCTATTGGTAAAGGCTAGGTAACAACTCTGCTAATGAGGGTCGGTGGGTGATGTGCAATTTGCCCTATTATATTTGCAAATTGACTTCCTTTTTTCTTTTCTTTTGTTGATAATAAAAGCATTAAAAATAGAATAAAAAGAGAGAAAAAGCGTCACCAGTTTGACTCTGTCATCTCTCTCTCTCTCTATATTTTACGACCTTTGTCCTTCTTTCAACTCTTCTCTCTTCCCAAATCTCATTTCCTCTCTCTCTCTTCTCTCTCTCTCTTAATTTCAGTTGAGTTTAATTTTTTAATTTGGATGATTTTTCTGTTTTACTAAAAAATGGCAGTAGAAATGATGCCAGGCTATAACCTCACTTCAAAAATGGAGGAAAATGCCGCCCAAGAAGCCGCCGCCGCCGGCCTCCACAGCGTCGACAAGCTAATCCGATTACTCTCCCACTCCCACCACCACAAGTCCCGACAGCCCTCTTCCGCCGCCGCCGCCGATTACCTCGCCGTGGCTGATGTCGCCGTCGACAAATTCAAGAAGTTCATCTCCCTGCTCGACCGGACTCGGTCCGGCCACGCACGTTTCCGCCGCGGCCCGGTTCCGAATCCGCAGCCGGTTAAGATCGAACCGGTGCCGGAACCGGCGGTCCTGCCGTCATCCCAACCTCCGAAAACCGAGGAAAGGGATCCCGCGGCCGGTTCGAGGATTTACTGCCCGACGCCGATTCAGAGGCTGCCGCCTCTCCCCAACCACCACCACCAGCTAATCAAACACGGCTCGATCGAGCGGAAGGAGTCTTCCACAACGACGATTAACTTCTCGTCGCCGGCGAATTCTTTCATTTCGTCGTTGACCGGAGACACCGAAAGCCAGCCGCCGTCGATGTCGACGTCGGGATTCCAGATCACAAACCTCTCACAGATTTCCTCCGCCAGCCGTCCGCCGCCGCCGTCGTTCAAGAGGAAGTGCAGCTCCTCCATGGACGACGCCGCCGCCGCCAAATGCGGCGGCGGGTCGTCGGCGAGCCGTTGCCATTGTCCCAAGAAAAGGTAATTATAAGGAAGTTTAAAAAAAAATAAAAAAAGTCAACCCATAGTAAATTAAAACGTAAAAATCAAATCATATAATCCTTACCATATATGTATGTTTGAATTATAATTAATTACAATTAGTGATGCTAATTGTGAATTAATTGGCAGGAAATCGAGATTAAAGAGAGTAGTGAGAGTGGCAGCAATAAGCATGAAGATGGCTGACATTCCACCTGATGATTACTCTTGGAGAAAGTACGGTCAAAAGCCCATCAAGGGTTCACCTCATCCTAGGTAAATTTTTTTCCTTGTTACCTTTGTTTAAGGTTATTTTTTTATAATTAAATTCCTATTTTTATTGCATTTATGTAGTAAACACCTCTTAATATTGTGCATATAACAATAAGCAAAATTTGATTATATTATATAATAGCTAAATAAGGCGATGTTTGCATAATCTGTTTTCGAGTGTTTGCAGTTCGAATTTATGCTAATGTTTCTCTTAGGATAAACTCTTTATATTTGAGAGATATCGGCTTATAAATTAGGGTAAATTATAAAAGCCCCCAAACTTAGGTTAAATAATAAAAAATACTCTTATCTATTCGTAATTACCAAAAAGTCCATGAGGTCTGTTTCCATCTTACACCAACCCTTTCCGGTGTGACTTTTCACGATTTATTTATTTATTTCACGGAATAGACTTTACACAATTTCAAATATTTTCTTTTATTTCTCACCTATTTAACAGAAGGTATAACAAATTGTACACATTTTTTGTTAAAAAACACAATCCACAGTTAATTCAGAGGTGGGTTTTAGTTATTACAGATAAGTGGGAGTGTTTTTTGTTATTTAGCCTAACTTAGGGGGTTTTCGTAATTTATCCTAACACTACCTAAATCTCGAAACTAATTGAAATAATGTAATAAAATAAAAAAATTGCAGGGGTTATTACAAATGCAGCAGTGTAAGAGGGTGCCCGGCCCGAAAGCACGTGGAAAGGGCATTGGATGACCCGGCAATGCTAATAGTAACATACGAAGGCGAACACAATCATGCTGCCCAGTCAAATACTGAACCACCTTCTACTACCATGCTTCTTGAATCATCTTAATTTTTTTTTTATTTTTTTTTTTTCATCGAACGGCTTAGATTCGCGACACGAAAAAAGTATGATCTCCACCGTCCGATTGGTCAAAAGATGGATTTGTTGTTGTTGATGATGATGATGATTCCCATTTTCTGCAATATTGTATTTATTATTTATTTCATTTTTGTGGTGGTGGGTATTTTTTTTTCTTCTTGAGTAAAGTAAATGGTTACTTTTTTCTTGTTTTCGATTATTGTTTTTTCTCTAATGATTAATTAATTAGAATAATATATGGTGACTAATTCAATGTAGCATAGGGAGTCAATGGGGAAAATGATTATATTAATTGATGAATAATAATGTAGCATAGGGGGTGCAATTATTCATATGTGATGGTTGACAATTTAGACCATTATCTCGGGTGATATCATTAATTTATTAATTAAATTATTGATGGTGGGTGGAGCCTTGTCAGCTGATAAAACTTGGACTTTTTTGGAGAGATTATTATTATTATTATTATTATTATTATTATTATTATTATTATTATTGAAAAATTATAGATGCTGTGAAAATCATAATTAATATCAAATTTTAACAATTTAATTATGCAGAATAAATGCAATTTAATTTTGTAGAATTGTTTATGCACAGTGTGACTTTGTTAAGAGGAAATAAATAAATAAATAAATAAATAGAGGGCTGAGATTAAGATCTGGGCAGAGAATAAAATCACGGGATGTTGGATTCGAAGACTTTTGTTTTTTAAATCTATTGTTGACCTTTGACCAATAGATCAGCCTAAATGGCGCAGGTGTATGGAAACCCAAGTCACCAATCACAAGGAATTTTTTATTTTTTGTTTAAAATTTAATTATAGTGCATTATTATTTATTATGGGGTAAATTATGTCATCCCTCAGATAATATTAAATTACGGAAAATTACTTATATCATCTATGAATCTTCTTACATGTCCACTCTTATGGTTTCGAGTTTAAAACAATCTTCTAGATTTTGTGGGATGTTCTATAGTTTGTATTCGTTTTGTGCAATAATGCAGTTTCTGATGGACCAGAATCTGATATTTACAAGTCAAGCCACATTTTGTGATCCTCTTGTTTCAAAATGTAGAGCTTGAATTTGATAAAAATATGGTACAAACTGAGGAATATTTCAAAATATAATAGAAGATTCCACCGATGAATGCGCAAAAAGATTCATAGTTGAGTAATATTTATAATTATTCAAAAATTAAGGGTTTTATTCGTAATTTGACCTAATTTACACTTTATTATGACTAAGCTTTTTGTTTCCTATTTTTCTTTTGTTATGTTGACGCTTGTAGTTTTTTAAGATTGGAAATATTTTAATTCATTGATTCTTGCAAATTTTACGATGTTTGGTGTGAACTTGACCTTATAAACTAATATTTTATTACATGTTCACATGGGCCAAGATTGAGGATGACTCTAGTTAATTATTTTCTTTTTTTTTCTTTTAAATAATAACTGATTTTTGGATTTTGTCAGAGTAAACAACAGTGCCTCTTTGAACTTTGAACTTTGAAGGCATCCTAGGTAGGTTACGTACCGGTGTGAACTCGTTAGAATTTTCAGGCTCAAGTTCAAGGTTGTTTTCAATTTTGTGAGCTTGAGCTCGAACACATATTTATTTTCCAGTCTCAAGCTCAAGTTCAAGTGAATTCATCGAGCTCAGCTCAGCTCGTATTGTTAATTTTTAGTTTTTTTTTTCTAATTTTTATATTAATATTGCTTTATTTTATATGTATTAATTAAATTATTTAAATGACTATAAAAATTAAAAAAATTATAGAATTTTTTTTTTTTTTTTATACATATTTATTTAATAATAATATTATTATTATATATATATATATATATATATATATATATATATATATATATATATATATATATATATATATGTGTGTGTATATATATATATAAATATATAAATATATATATATATATATATATATATATATATATATATATATATATATATATATCTCGATTTAGATCTCTATTTCTATTTTTTATTGAATCACCTCATAGAGTTCAAAAGCCTGGTTAACTCATTTACCACCCCAAACCCTAAAAAAAAATACACTAGGAAAAGCCCAAATAGGGGAATAAATACACTAATATTTGCACCTCCAAAAACGCAAGTGC